TTCTTTTACCAAATTTTTCTCTGTAACCTTTACTTCCTAGCAGTCTGTACCATTTAGTCTAACTTTATTAGCATTGATCATGAGAATATCTTATTTTAACAGGGCTGTAAGTGGTATTTGTTAAATGATTATATCATATAAATATTCCCTTCTCAGTGAGGGAGAATTTTTTTTACTTGTATTTTAAGATTAATATGACTGACTGTGGCATGTTGAAAAACCAGCCTAGACATTTATTAACATGGCTATTTACTATATATGTTTGTAAATAGTCCTACATGCCAATTAGGTAACAAAAACTTTAATTTGAGGTCTATAAAACAGTAATTTGATTTAATATTGGTAATTTAATATTAGTATTTTTGAGTTTTCTAAAAGCTCTTATTTATTAAATTATTATTTCTAATTTCAGCATGGTTCTTTCCTTACTTACTAGAACAGTAAGTAGGTTATTGATATGAATGTACAACTTATCTATTTAATGAATTAGGTTTTGTTATTGGTGATTTGTACATACGATTTGTTAAAGGCTGGTGCTTCAGTGTCTTTTTAACCTTTACCTGTAAAAACTGAAAAATACTTCACTCATGTGAATTAAATGTAAATATTTGTTATTTTCAATATTTCTTGATCCTTTGAATTATTTTGTTATGATAATACTTTTAATTTCCTGTTCTAAAGTTTTTTATTTGAAAAGACTCCCATTTTGATAGGCAAAAATCATATTATATTTAATAAGGAGAAGAGTGGGACTTATCAACTCCCATGAATCTATAAAGGAACTCATATATCAGCAGAAATTGAAATAACCTTGGCTTAGCCTCCCGTATCATGCTGCATGCGAGTCCAATTCCTTCCTTAAGTTTTCTGCAAATGTACAAATGAACATGGTGGGTGGGGAAAGATTGTATGCTTCAGGTCATTCTATTAAAGCATTTCTGCTTATCCTGGAGAGGCTTCTGTTATGGATCACTTCAGCTCAGAGAGGAAATCAAGTCTCTTCATCAATACTCACAAAACAACCATTTACACCAGTTATTCTCAAGAGCAGTTAACTTTTCTGATAACGGGAGGAAAGGGGAGGGTTATAGCACATCAATTCAAACGACTGAAATTGGAAGTTAGTCAATCCTGCTATTAAAATATCTGCCAGGATTTCAGTTGGCCTCAACTTCATAGCAATCCATTGGCTTCTCTTCCTTCTTCCTATCTTAGTATCCTATCTTTCCCTTTTGTCAGGAGAAAAAAAAAATCTCATTTTTCTACTACAGAGGAAATTTTGTTTTTCTGCTTCCTACAAAGCCTCACTGTTGCTTTTTTGCTTTGGCTTTCACCTGTGCCAACATATTGCTTTCTATAGGTTTGTAAAGCAATTTCCCAGACTAAGAAAATTTCCTCCCTAATGGAAGTTATTGTGCCACCTGTTACGTATTAAGACAGAACTTTTATTTAAGTTGGTTACCAAGATTTTTCTTTGTGGATTGCCAACTAGATTGTGCTAGATGCAAAAAAGAAAAAAAAAAAAAAACCTGAAAAACCTGGAATCCTGAAATATATGCAAGTGTCCTGTTCAGTGGTTTTGCCTTTTCATCAATCTTTTTTTCTGTTGGTCCTGGAAATATTAACCTATTAATAAAAGGCATATCTGTGTTATAATGACAAATATTGGTAAAGAAACATGTGATGAATTTTTGAGAAATTGAAAGCAATAAAAAACCTGAGTATGAAGTAGCCATGCAATGTAAGCAAAGTGGGGAGTCATGAATAGTTGACAAACAAGGATGATATTGGCAAACATGAAATTAAAATGTAGTGTGGACAAGCCTGTCTCTAAACCTAAGGATACTTTTGATGTGAAAACAACTGTGCTCCTGAATGATTTTACTCTAAAGTTCATGTAATTAAAAAACATCCTTGGTGACACATTGACATTAATTTCCTTTAATGTAACTGAGGCAATACACTGTTCTGATATTTTTCAGAAAGTGTTTTTAGTTGTGATTAGAAGCTAATTGTATTATTTTTGAAACCTTGCTTTTTGTTTTAAATAGAATATATAGGCTGTTTTTGGTATATGACATCAATGCAGAAGGCTATTCTACTTCAGCCAGTGCACTCTAGGCAAATCCAATAGGAACCCTAAGATTTTGCTATATTTAGAATACCCATGGAAATATAGAAGTAATACTCTAGCTATTGATAATACTGTATTTAGAAGACATTACTTCTAAGACATCAGTAATAAAACTATGCTTTATTATATTTTTTTTAAAATTTCCTATTCATTTAGAGTTTGTATTTATTTGTGCCAATTGAAATGGTAATTTCAGATTTTGTTGAGTATGCAATACCTAATATTTTCTGACAAATACAATTTTATTTTTTGAATTACAGTAACCAAGATACCTAAGAAGTATTTTGAATAAATTTTGCCATGTAGAAGTGCTTATTGTTTTATTTAATCATTGATTGATATGGTTTGGCTGTGTCCTCACCCAAACTCTCATCTCAAATTGAATCTTCATTATCGGCACCTGTCAAAGGGGAAGCCAGATGGAGGTCATTGAATCACAGAGGCAGTTTCCCCTGTGCTGTTCTTCTGATAGTGAGTGAGTTCTCACGAGATCTGAGATCTCGTTTTATTTGTGTTTGGTAGTTCCTCCTGCATTCATTCTCCTTCCTGCTGCCCTGTGAAGAAGATGCCTTGCTTTCCCTTCACCTTGCACCATGATTGTAAGTTTCCTGAGGTGTCCCCAGCTGTGTGGAACTGTGAGTCAACTAAACCCCTTTCCTTTATAAATTAGCCAGTCTGTTTTTTTTTTCCCTATTTATTTTATTGCATTTTAGGTTTTGGGGTACATGTGAAGAACATGCAAAATTGTTGCATAGGTACACACATGGCAGTGTGATTTGCTGCCTTCCTCCCCATCACCTACATCTGGCATCTCTCCCCTTGCTATCTCTCCCCAGCTCCCCACCCCCCACCGTCCCTCTCCTATTTCCCCTCAACTAACCCCAGTGTGTAGTGCTCCCCTCCCTGTGTCCATGTGTTCTCATTGTTCAACACCCGCCTATGAGTGAGAACATGCGGTGTTTGATCTTCTGCTCTTCTGTCAGTTTGCTGAGAATGATGGTTTCCAGGTTCATCTATGTCCCTACAAAGGACCCAAACTCATCGTTTTTGATGGCTGCATAATATTCCATGGTGTATATGTGCCACATTTTCCCTGCCAGTCTCTTTATAGCAGTGTGAAAACTAACTGACACAGTGAAGAAATGTCATTGATTATTATACAACTAGTCAAGTCAAAGTCTATTAATTTTATTCCTCTCAGTTAAATTTTCTCACTTAGATTCATTCAGGCAACAAATATTTATTAAGCACCTAGTATTGTCAGGTGTATGCTTAGCAGTGGAAATGTAAAATGAATCATGCTCCGTCTTCCTAATGGATTTACCTGCTTTATCGACAGGCAAAACAGGGATTATCAGTGATACATCCTTGATAGAGTAAGCTGCCTTGAGTGAAATGGGTTCCGAAAGATGGGGATCCACAACATGCTGGGCAGTTCAGCCTTTCCAGAGAAGGTTCTATTAGCTTGGTTAATTAATATGTTCTTGTGAGTGAGACAAAAAGGAAATATTATTTTTTATGCAGAGAAAACACTATGAGCAGAGGATTGGTGATGGGACACAGCCCTGTGTTATCAGAGCACATCAAGCAGGAAAATAACTCTGGAAGCAATGGAAATGTAAAATGTGTGTGTAGAGTAGGAGAGTTTAAGTAGATTTCAGGCACAAAGAAAAAAAGAGACATGTTAGGAGACTATATAATATAAATAAGAAATAGGAGGAACGAACTGAGGTAGTGGAAATGGGAAAGAGGAAGAAGCAATGAATGAGATTGTTGACTCAGTATGACTTAGTATCTAGTGGAAGTGAGAAGTGGTGGGAAAGCAGAACTCTAAAATGATCTTTCATTTTCCACAACTTGTATATAGCTACTTTTCACTGTGTGTGGGAGGGTATTGCTTCTTGTTATCTTAACAAATTGTGCAGTTTGAAACTAAGATTTATTTTGTATTTGGTAATATTAATAAATAATTATTCGCATTCAATGTGTAATCATTGGTATTCCATGTGTACTTTTATATATTAGCTGTGTGATTTAAAGATATTTAAGTAAAAACTTTGCAAATACATTGTAGCAGCTTTACGAATGCAATTGTGGCAGTCTTACATTCTTTATTAGATATCTTTCAAAAGCAGTGGTCACCATTTCTAAAGTTTATTTTGTTTCTTTTTAGATTTAAAACAATACAGAGCTTACAGTGAGGCATTCAATAATTTATGCAGTTCTGTTTTCTGAAACCTGTCTTCAGAATTTTCACTGTGACAGAGGAAGTGCAAGGCAAGGGACAATACAATCTCTCATAGTGATTTTTACTGTCAAAGAACATAAATAAACAACTTCCATTCCTTTGGATCATTTGTAGTATGATTAGTAGTGGGTTCAGAAATGCTGCTTCTGAAGCTCTTGAGTTGCCAGCCTAGATGTTTTCTCAACCATATCCTTGCTTATTTATATGTCTTTGAACAGAATGTTTATTGTTAATTATAATCCCCTTTAACAAACTTATCTAACTGGAAAACTTTCGTAACTATTTCTTCTATTGGCCTATGTTAGTTTTATTATTATTATTATTTTATTTATTTATATTTACTTTTTGAGATAGTCTTACTCTGTCACCCAGGCTGGAGTGCAGTGGCTCAATCTGGGCTTACTGCAACCTCTGCCTCCCGAGTTCAAGTAATTCTCCCTACCTCAACCTCCTGAGTAGCTGGGATTACAGGTGCCTGTCATGATGCTTGGCTAATTTTTTGTGTTTTTAGTAGAGACAGAGTTTCTCCATGTTGGCCCGGCTGGTCTCGAACTCCTGACCTGAGGTGATCTGCCCGCCTCGGCCTCCCAAAGTGCTGGGATTACAGGCGTGAGCCACCATGCCCGGACCCTGTGTTAGTTTTTATTGATTCACTTTCCCTTTCTCCTCAACAAAAGAGTTATATAAAATAGAAAATTAATACGAATATTTTGCCAACATAAAATTATAATGAAAGATATTGGGCAGCAAGTTATAGTGTCACATAGACTTTTCTAAGCATAGGTAAATATGTCAGCACTGGTTTATAACCTGAATTTATTATTTTTTTCTTTTTATAACTTTGTAGTCAACATTATGTTCATTTACAACTGTTTTGTGAGTCTACTGATTGCAAAAGACAACGAAGAACAAAATGAGAATTTTAGTAGAGTAGATAATAGTCCCAGTTGCTTGGCTGTTTTGATAGCACGTATGAATAATTCACCATCCATATTTAATAGCATATGTTATACTCCTTAATACATCTATAACCATCTACTTCCAAAGGGAAAACTACCCTGCTGTTTGTGGTTTGTTTAGCTTTTCAATGAAAGCTGAAGAGAACATTGAATATTTCCCCTAAGACCTACTAAAGCCTGAATATTACTTTAGCATATTATCCTCCATTGTGTTTTCTGAAAAGATTTCCTTGGGAATGCCATCAAGAGTTTATAAAAATGATTATAAATATATTTAATTTTTAAATATTGCTAATTGATACTAATGCTGTTTTTGTATAACATTTGAAATGTGTATATGTAATTATACATATGTATATATATGGGATATGCTAAGTTGGTATTTATGTCTGATATGAGAAAATGTCTAGGTAGGTAATGTTAAGATGATATTTAAACAACTGTCTCAAAAGGCAGTGAAAGCTTCATGCATTATCATTATTGTGAGTTATTGGAATTTTCCTCAGGCATTAGAAAAATTTGAGGTAAAGTATACTTTGTTAACCTAGAAAGCCTACTAGATTTTTTTCAGTGATTCCTGTTTTATTTCAATGCATATGTAGATTATATATTTTAGAGAAGTATGAAATTGTAGGTGAAGAATATATAAGTTCAAAATGCTTCTATTATTGACAAAAAACTTAATCACTGGAAACATTTATCCCTTTTATTGGCATATCTGACAGACAGTAGACTGCTGCTTTCTTGAAGGAATAAGGCTGCAGAAGCATATAATTCAACTGAAACAGATTTATCCTATCAGGAAAACTAAATAGCATCAAATACCCTTGACTTTACATAGTACAATGACAACAACCTTGACTAAACACAGATCATTTGCTTCACTGAAAGGAATAGTCCTAAGTATTAGTATACGAAATCCTATATCTTACTCCACATGATATAAACTAGCTGTAGATCTAGAATAATAGGTTGTGCAGGGAATTCAGCAAAGAGATAACTCAGTTTCTTTACTTTATAGATGGGAATATTTAAGTCCCATAGAGGTTAAATTATTTTCCTCAGATGAAGTAGCTGGCTAGTGGCTGAGTTGGGGCTATGGTGCAAGACCTGTGATTCCAGTCTAGTCCAGCATTATTTTGCATTGCATTATAATTATTTTTTAAATTAACTTTAATAACTAGTAATTTTTCTTTAACCTTCCAAACATAACTATTTTTCTTTATAGGAACTTTGTTTCACTTTTAAGAACTACTACAGTAAGTACAATACTTATGACAATTTGGGGGAACTTGCTCTGTGACGTTTATATAAAATATGTTGATAACCTTGTATGTTAGTCATTTGTTTTAGTAGTTAATTCTGGAAAGCAACTCATACAGAATTTAGAAAAGGATTTGCACCATAAATATTAGTAGAGTTGATTACAACACACAGGGAGGTTTTATAGGGATAGAGCAATTATACTGAAATATACTTGGATGATAAAACATGAATATAAAATGAAAGTCTTTAATATGAATATTTGCTTTAGAAAAATACAATTATAGCAGCATTTCTGCATAATAGGCAAAGAAAAGTGATAGTTCTTTTGAACTATGATACATGATCCAAAAGAGCTTTATATTTTCAATTTATGGTGCAATTTTTCTGGTTGGCAGAAAATGTAATTAGCAGGCACCATTGTGCTATTTTTTATTTAGTAAAACAACTTTACTTTTTTAAGGGACAGCTGGCGGTATGTCTGTAAAGCATTATGATATGAAACTTATGGTTTTCTAGTTATGCTGTTTTGTAATTATATGAAGTTCAGTCAATCAACCTTTTAGTGATAGAATTGGTGAGTATTAGTGAGCCTTAATCTCATGTCAAGATTTTCCTTCGGAGAAGAATTGATGAATACCATGCCCTGGTGTTTTTCGTCTCTTCTTCCTAGAATATTTAACAAGTACAGCTTAGGTAAAATAAAAGCCTTCAAGTGGCGAGAGAAGTGATGTCACCAAGAGAAATTTGCAGTTTGAGAGGATGTGGAGGAAAGAAGTCTGTGAATCAGTGGCAACTGCATATTTGTGAGACCAGATTTCCATGGGATTATTGTCAGATCAGCATGTCTGGAGCCAAACTTTGAAAAGTGGCAGATAAGGTTAAAAAAAAAAAAGCAAGCAGATGATAGAAAGTATGCCAAATTAAGGGATTTTCCTTCTGAGCTGTATATGAGAAGAAGTCACTAAGGCATTCGAGCAAGGAACTATTGTAAAGTGGAGCACCTAACAAGATATATTTGTGTTTACTTTAATCATTGGAACCACCTTAACCAATCCTTTGCTGGGTGAAGGAAGATCAAATTGGCGGGAAAAAACCCTTAATGATCTTCTAAATCTTTAGTTTTACTTTTGTTTATTGAACCTAAAGGTAGGCTTCAAAAATCCATTTTATCAAATCTGTTTCCACTTTTCAACAGCAATAAGTCAGTGGAGTTGTCTGTATTAGATACACAGTAATCAAGAATAGTTTAGGCTTAGGTAATCTACTTGTAGTACTTGCATGTTTTAGATTCTCTGCAACAAACTGTGAGGTATTTTCTCTCTCAGTAACCAAGTATATGAAATAACACCAAATCCTGACAAGAATGTAGTTATGTGGAACAAGATTAAGTCTTTAAATACACTGTACAAATATTTGGTTCTAGCATACTAGGCTTCGAAATCAGGAACCATAGACAGTGCTATTGATCAGGCAATATTTGTCTTTAACTCATGCCTTTACCCTTTTCCAGGCAGTTTCATAGATCTGGGAGAGGTTGAGGGGAATAAGGGCTGGTACTGTCCCTCAATTCATACCATACAGATAACTACTTACCATGCCTTTGTGTAGAGTCAGTCTTACATTCTGACAAGGTGATATTTTGTTCTAAATATTTAGTAATAAGTTTAGGCTTTAGCATATTACTATAATAATCATGTAGTAGCATGTATTGTTTAATAATGTTTTTGCTAGTATGGAATTAAAATATCCCAGACTATTTTTCTTATGAACCATGAGGAAACCAGTGTTTCATGGAAATAAACACTGGTCTAAAAGTTCATAGTGATCATTCTAGGACTGACTGCCTTACAAATGCGTGTAAATTTCTTCACCTCCTGAGCCTCAGTACTACATTTTAAAACTGGAGGTAATATTAGTCTCACCTCCACCCCAGTGTTACTGTAAAAATTAATGAGATCATATGCATGAATAGGAGTCATTATTTTTCACTTTTATAAGAAAACTTGTTTTCCATTTATTTGGTAAAGAACCTTGGATATCCATCTTATAAGATATGAAAATCACCAACATGTTTAACACAAACTACTGGAAAAATACAATGTGACTTACATATGTAGTAATATACAAAATATAATATGACTTACACATAGTAACACACATAATGTGACTTAAACATAGTAGCCCCTGGGTTTTTGTATCATTCATTTGTTCACTCAACAAGTATTTATCAATACTGTGTAGTAATTATACCTTACTGTGTTCTAGTGTTATGGATACAGCATTAAATTTAAAAAGACAACAATGTTGGTAGTCATGGAGCTTGTCTTTTTGTAGGGGGAAAGCAGACTTAATATAAATATTTTAAAGAATCAGATAGAAAATCATACATTAACCCTGAATAAATGTTATCATTTTATTTCATTAGCATAATAAACACTATCTACTAAGGGAAAAATGTGTATTTTTACCTTCCTAATTACCAAGGATGTATAATAAGTCTAAGTTCACCAAAGCTAAAAAATGAAAACTGTTTCTTTTGATTTTTGGCTAAAAATTATGTTCAGATAGATGTCAACTATAAAGGTATGAGTCTTCATGTTTTTCCCTCTATTTAGATTGGATTTGAAAAATGAATATAAAGATGCTCTAAGTAGACATAATCAAAACGTAAAATATTTAAGCATCATTAGTACTTCGAATAGTAATTTTATAGTAACTTCTAGTCTCCTTATAACCATCCTGCCTTGTATTTAACCAAATTATTCTGACTTTAATCATTATTACAGAATATAAATAATGCTTATAAAAAGTGTTAAAAATCTTCTCTGGTAGTAGAAGTATAACTTCCATAGTTTATGACTTGCAAAGTCAATGCAATATTTTGATAGGTTACATAGGCAGAGAATGTGAAAGAGGTCATGAGTTGTGGTTTTTAAAACAATTTTTTTTTCATTGTATAGGAAAATATCTTTATCAGAAGAAGAAAACAGTGTTGTTATAAACTTCTTAAAGATTTTCATGCAAAAGGTGAAGATGAATTTGGTGTGAGGTTTATCTGAGAGATCATCAAGAGAATTATTTTCACTTTTGGGGCTTGTTCTAGTTAATATATTGATTGATAGATGGATAGGTTCATTAGTTTTGCAGGAACCTGATTTCCAATTTTGGTTTTGCCATAGCGATTTAGGCCGCTTTTCCTCTCTGGGCTTGTGTTTCCTCATCTAAAACAAACTGGTCAGCCCAAATTATGGCTAAATTATTTTATTTAGGTTCTCAGATTCACAAATATATACTTTCTATAATGCTTCTATTTAATTTTTGAAAATTTTTATGTTATTGCATTTCTGATATGGATGTAAAAAGATAGTAGGTGAGGTTGAAAAAAGACTACAGGGGATGAATGTACAAAAAGCATACAAATGAAATTATTGGTGTTTTCTTTATAATGCTGAGGGTCTAAGGAGGATCTGGCAAGTAATAAGCAAGAGAAGCTGCATAGTGTTTTCAGAGATGATTAACATTTAGAAAAATTCAATTCTGGTTAGAATAAATTTCTCTAAAATAACCATAGTTTTAATGGAAAATATAAAAAGATTGCTCTTTTGAGTAAATGACCACTAGAATTAATTTTTTTAACACAAACCTACTTCTAGAATACCCCCATTTTGCTGTTTTTCAAATGTCAAGTGCCAAAATGTCATATATATTCAGGGAAGAGGGTTTCCTCCTTGAACAAGGAGATGATACACAATCAGCATTATTTTGTGAGTAAAAATTCTCATGACAGTCATCCGAGACAGATACTGTCTTCGAAGTGACAATAGCTACAGAACCTTGAAAAGTGGAAGTAAGGAACTTTATTTTGCATGAGAATTCTCTAAGAAGATTTGAAGAAGTGATGTAGATCAGTTAATTGTTCTACTGTGAAAATCCATTCATTTAAAACACAGAGAGCATCCAAATAGGCACTTTTGTTTCCCTCACACTGATTCATTCATTTTTTTCTTGAGAATATGGTAGTGTTTTGAAGCACTTGTGTAGAAGCTGGATCCATGAAAGTACCATTTTGCCAACTATGATAACATAGTGTTAGAATTTTCTTGGTGAACTTACTGATTTACTGTGTTTTGTAATCCAGTTGTTGAAGAGTCAAAGAAATTTTCTTAGGGGATGTTGAAATGACTATCTAGGATTCTCCTGGCAAGGAGTATTCTTCTGTAAATGTCTCATTATCTAAGTATGTGGTATGATTTTAAAGACTTCAGCAATACTTCTATGACAACCATTGTGGATTATGAAATCCCACCATTAGCATATTTTCTAAGGTTAGGCAAGTATTTTCTTAGCAGCGCGATACAAAATAAAGATGCTATAGATTATCAATTTTGAAAATATGACATTTCTTGCTTCTGAGAGAGAAGCATCCAGGTCCAGCATCTTAGTATAGTTATCAGAGAAAGAAAAACGTTAAAGTGCTAATGATATTTTTAAATGACTATAACTGTTATTTGAATATTAATAAGAATCTAATTAAGAGTATGTTCAGCAATATGCTAGTCTCATAAAAAGACACGGAGAAGGATGCAACATGGTCTTTATAAGTCATTTTTAGTCTTTACAGAAGATTAAAACATACAGAGATATATAATAAACATAAGCACTGAATAATTAAGTATTTAGAATTTACTACATATTATGCAACATACTGCCCTATATTAAACATCTTCCTTGAGCCATCTCATTCAGTCATCAACAGGGTCCTATAAGTGGGATTACTAATACCTCCAGTTTGCATATGAAAAAACAAAGATACAGAAAATTTAAGAAACTTCTCCAAAGACATGAAGCCCACAGATATTAGTGAAAGAGTCAAACCCTCGGCAGTTTGCCTACAGTCTGTGCTCTTAACCTCTTTATGAGGCTGAATTCATGAAGGAGTATAGTCCAGACTACAATTGTCATAGGGGTTCAAAGGAGGTAGAGTGGTTAAGAAAATCATACTAAAAAAAAAAAAAGGGACTTTAACTCCACTCAGAAATGTGTGTACAATAGATAAATGAAGAAGTACATGGGGGGGTGTTAATAGGAAACAATTTTCCTGAAGAGAGGCATTATTGTAAGATAAATGTTGATAAAAGATACCATGGTCATACAGATTTTAATGTTTTTTTTTAATTAGGTTACTAGAAGTACTTCTCCCTATTGGTATTTGGCCTGCTCCTGGGTTTGACTCTTATAACAAAGAGACCAAAAGCACAACTATAGCACAGTAGCCTTAGGAAAGTGATGATGATGACAGCAACAACAACAACAAAATTCTCATTTTAATGCAGGTATTGTACTAGGTCGTTTACATGAAATTCTTTTTGAATATGATGGAGGGAATAACAGACATGCATGTGTGTGTGTGTGCACGCAGGCACACACAGCCCCACACTCCTTTCCAAAACATAATTGATCTTGTGAGAAAGCAAGAAAAATCTTCAGGTATCAGAAGCAGTGAGAAAGTTGGCATTCAGACAGGTGTCTACCACTCCTTGATGACCTGAGGACATCCATGAGACACACATCTGAAAGTTAGGAACAGAACTTGGGCCTTAGCAAGGCAAAAGTTGGATGGAATATATCATCCATAAAGCTGTAACCTCAAGAGGCTAAAATGAATGAATGAGAAAGAGAAGATGAAATAAAACAGCTGTCTGTCCAAAGAAGAAATGTGCTCATTTGTCATTCTAGACCTTGTTTCTGGATTAGGAGAAAAATGACAAGACAAACAACAACAACAACAACAACAACAACAACAAACATCACTTTCATTTGGAATTGAGATTTATACTATCAATGTGGATGGCCTGAAAAACTCCAAGTCAAAAATATAGTTAGATCCTCTTGGACTGATCTCTAGAAATGTGGCAGAAGCAAACACAAACTTGTTCTGGAAAAATATACATTAACTTTTTAAATGTTTCCAAGATGTTATAAATATGGACAATTCAAACATATAAATATCAAAGGAATAGTACAGTAAATACCTACATACTTAGCACTTAGATTCAATAAATTGTCAGCACTTTGCCAAGTTTGCTTCCTGTCTCTGTCTCTATCTTTCCATTTTCTACGTCATTATTGAAGCATTTGAATGTAAGTTGTTGACTGATGCTTTACCCAAAAGTATGTCAGCATTCATCTCCAAAAAGTACTTTCTTACATACTACACTATTATCTTTATCACAGCTATCATAATTAATAATCCTTAGGTATTATCTCATGCCTAGTCTACATTCAGATTTCCATGGGTGATGCTAAATCATGTATTATAGTCATTGTTTTCACTACCTGGGGTTCTATCACTGTTTGCATATATGTGTGTATGTATGAATGTATATACGTATGAATGTATATATGTGTGTATACCAATACTTACGTATATATGTATTAAGTATAGCTTACATACATATATATCTATAAAACATGTATATATGCTTTAGGTATAGCTTAAACTTTTTGTGCAAGAATTGTTTCTATTGTATACTTCATATCCCATCTCATTGGGAGGTATGAGAAGTTAGGATGTAGCATTCTTAGTGAGGCTAAGGTTGATCACTTAGTTAAAGTGGTAATTACTAGATTTCCTTGTAAGTAAATTTACTTACCTTTGCCTTTGCCATTAGCAAATTTTTATTAGGGTGATACTTTGCCCCCAGTTGAATGTCTTATTTCTAGATAACCTTTTGCTTATTAGTTTAAACATCTTATAATGACACTAGCTGAATCAGTTATTTTATTGAGAATTTATATTCATTAGCTGATAGTTAACATTTATTAGCTGATATTATTCTGTAATGATTGATTGGGAATAAACCACAGTTCTCCTGAAATGTAAATGCTTATTGTTTTCCCTCTAATTACCAACTTCAGAGAAGGTTGTTGGCATACCAGTCATCTCTAGTAAGGGCAAATGAATGAACCTCTTTCGTCTCACCCATTTCTCTCTCTCAAGAATGACTATGGACTCATTTTAAAAAAGTTATTCTATGAGTTATAATACATCAACATTATTCTTTGAAAGCCACATTATCCTAAGTTATCTCCTGTATCTTTTTGATATGGCTTCGTTTGATCTGGAGGATTTTCTTTCTGGCACAAGGTGTCCTAGGATAAACTTGTACTTTTCCTTTCCCAGACCTGGAATTAGACATTTCTCTAGGAAGCCATAGAATACTATACTATGAGTTCACAATAAAAACAAACAAAATCACAAAATATATGGTATAACAAGTGTCACCAGAGAAAGCACAGAAAACAAATTTTAGAATCAGACCTTTGCAGACTATTACAAGTATATTCAGAAAAACAAATATCTTTATGATATTCATAAGAATAGAAGAGGTTACTGGTGGTTTAGCAAAGGAATAAGAAAAAAAGACTGTCAGAAATAAACAGGCAAGTTTGAAAAAGAATTAAGTAGAACTTTTTGAAATAAAATATATATAAGTTTTGAGGTTAAGAGTATAATAGATGGCTTCAAAAGCAGGTTTGACACAGCCAACAGAATTAATAAACTAAAAGATCTAAGGAATCAAAAGACATGAATTCTGAAATTCAGTAAACCTAACAAATTAAAAAAGAAATTCCCTAAACACATTACCATGAAACTGCACAATACCAAGAAGAGACAAAAAAAAAAAAAAAAAAAAAAATAGGAGCAACCAGACAGAAAAAACCAGAATGCCTTCAAAGAAACAAAGCTTGACTGACAGCTAATTTCTGGATAGAAACAATGGAAGCCAGAAGTTAGTAAAATGATACCTTCAGATTTCTTAGAGACAATGACTGTCAACATAGAACCAAATAATAACCAATATTATTTTCAAAAAACTGGGAAAATAGAAACATTCTCCAGCAACAAAGTTTGGGAAATGTTTACTAATCAATGAATCATCACTAAATAAGCTTTTAATAAATGTAATTTTAAAAGGGAAAAAGAGCCTTCAAACAAAGTCAGAAATAGAGAAAAAGTGGACAGAGTGAGTCTACAGGGACAAACAGAAGTCCAATCCGGTACCTTCAGCAGTTTGCAATTTTTGCCTTTATAAAAAAAGATATATATATGTATATATATGTGTGTGTGTGTGTATAATGTTTACATTAAAAACATAGTTAAAATATATATAAATATTTTATATATAAAACATAAATGTTTTATATATAAAACGTGTTTAAAACATGTTTTTATAAAACAAGTATGCTTTTATAGAAGCAAATTATAAATAAATGCACAACAGAAACAGTTATATTAGTATATTACTTTTTTTTGTTTTGTTTTGTTTTGAGACAGAGTCTTCCTCTGTTAGGCTGGAGTACAGTGGTGTGAGCTTGGCTTACTGCAACCTACACCTCTCGGGTTCAAGTGATTCTCCTGCCTCAGACTCCTGAGTAGCTTGGACTACAGGCTCATGCCACAATGCCCAGATAAATTTTGTATTTTTCAGTAGAGACGGGGTTTTACCGTGTTGGCCAGGATGGTCTTGAACTCTTGGCCTCGTGATCCATCAGCCATGGCCTCCCAAAGTGCTGGGATTACAGGTATGAGCCACCACACTTGGCTTTAGTATATTACATTCTAAAGCAACAATTTTAAAGAAAATAATACTCATTTAGTCATAAATCTTGAATTTATAAAAAACTTTCATAGTTCATTTTAGTCATAGTGCATAAATTTCTGTCACTGTCGCCTTAAGTCTTCAATAAATATGAACTTTGTTTGAAGTCTACTGCTGATTGAACTGTTAAATGCCGACTTTGAAAAATTATACTTGAAGACCCATGCTGAATCAGTCTAGAGTGACTGTAGGTGACAGTTTCAAATAAATTTAAGATTTGTAATTTTAGCTAAACTACTCAGTTATTTCTTTACTGTATTATATTACATTACTTTAAAAACGTATTTTTAAAAAGTATATTGGAACACTTGAAGTTTAAAAACTTTAACGATTATTTTTACTGATTATATTGTTCATAAAATTAATAAGGATTAATAAGTATTCATTATAGATAATTTGGATACCATTTTAGCTCATGATAAATATTATACATGTTAATAAATTTTAAAACACACAATATTTTATATTATGTAATACCTGTGTCAGGTGTGGTGGCTCATGCCTGTAACCCCAGCACTTTTGGATGCCGAGGTGAGCAGATCACCTGAATTTGGGAGTTCAAGACCAGCCTGGGCAACATGGTGGAACCCTGTTGCCACCAAAAATACAGCAAAATTAGCTAGGCATGGTAACATGCATATGTGTTCCCAGATACTCAGGAGCCTGAGATGGTAGGATCCTCTTGAGACTGGGTGGTGAAGGTTGCAGTGAGCTGAGATTGAGTCAATCGACTCCGATCTGGGAGACAGAGTAAGACTCTATTGAAAATAAATAAATGATAGACAGACAGACACACAGATAGATAGATAGATAGAAATACAAAGTAATACCTATTTTTTTAAATATATGTAACAAGGAAAATCATCTGTAGTTTCTTCATTAGAAATTGATGGGGAGGAGGAAGGCAGCAAATCACACTGCCACGTGTGTACCTATGCAACAATTTTGCATGTTCTTCACATGTACCCCAAAACCTAAAATGCAATAAAATAAATAAATGGGGGAAAAAAAAAAGAAATTGTCAATATTTTGATATATGCTGTTCAGACTTTTTCTATTATATCAATTATGTTCTCTATAATATATAAATTAATACATATATTTTGTTCTCTATAATATATAAACTAGCATATGTATTAGTTTATATATAATATATAAACTGATAAATATATTTTCATATATTCTATATTATGTGTGTATCTATCATCTACCCACTTACCTAGCTACATGGCTATTTATCTAAATTCCCAGGTATCAATTCTATTATTCAGTCTTTAATATGCAGATAAAATTGGATTGGTTTCTATATATTATACAAAGTTCATTGACTTCCCCAAGATGGTTATTAATTCTTGGTCATGTCAATTTCTGATAATCTTCTTATGACAAATATCTTAATGTGGAGCTGCTGAATAAATGTTATAAATGTTTTTAAGTCTTCTGAATTCATGTTAAATTGTCATAAAGGTTGTTATCAGTTCATACCTCAAACAGGGTGTATTGGAGATGTGCATTTTACTTACCAATGTTAGGTTCTGTTATACAAATATACTTTTTTTTACATAAGATTTTTCTAAGTAAATATTAAACTGATTTTATTTCCTAAATCATATACTGACTAAAAAAGAACATAAGAGGAGAAAGGAACTGTGCTGGTATTTTACATATCTGAACTTTTTTTTTGTTTTTTTGAGATGGAGTCTCTGTCACCCAGGCTGGAGTGCAGTGGCGTGATCTCGGCTCACTGCAACCTCTGCCTCCCAGGTTCAAGTGATTCTCATGCCTTATCTCTTGAGTAGCTGGGACTACAGGTGCATGCCACCACACCTGGCTAATTTCTTGTATTTTTAGTAGAGACAAGTTTTCACCATGTTGCCCAGACCTATCTCGAACTCCTGACCTCAAGTGATCTGCTCGCCTTGGCCTCCCAAAATGCTGGGGTTGTAGGCATGAGCTACTACATTTGGCCCTTGTCTTTTCCTAAGGAAAAAAAAGTAAAATAACAGTGTGTCTACATGACCCAAAATGTCCAACCTGTAAATATAGCATTTTTAGGAGCAGTGATATGACACAATGCCTGTGATTTAATTTGGAAGTATGCCTATAACTGTCATTAGTAATAATGAAAGTTAATGACATGCCTTATGGGATCAGACAATGGTCTTCAATGTTTGTAACTACTTGCTGTAGTAGAAACTATTCTGTATTGTCAGTGGGTGTCAGTTTGTAATTACAGTTTGCACAAACACTATGGATGGTATATATTTTGCCAACAAGGATTAACTTGGCATTTAGAAAAATGCTTCCTTTTCAGTGCCCAAGAGAAAAAAAAAAAATCTGTACCTTTTAAAGTAATAAACTTGGAGAGTAACTAAGAACCCATGAAATGTAACTTACAGTTTTCAAATTCAATGGACAAACATGTTTTTGGATTTTGTAATGTTTAAGTGATCATGTACTAACATTAGAGTGAGTTTTCAAATTTTTAAAAGATCTGTAGTTATCCTGAGCTTGAAAGTCACTTATGTTTCCAGCCCAAATATAACTCACTCAATTTTGCTGATAACCTAAGGATTTAGACTGAACAAGTGAGCCTTTGAAATAGATTTATCATGGTTTGAAAACTAATGTTGCTGCTTGCTGACCTCTGGTTTTATATTTGGTAAAAGGGGCTAAGTAGTGTGAAAAATAATTAAAGTAAAATATATGCAACTTTTTTTTTTGTTTTTTTTTTTTTTGAGACGGAGTTTCCCTCTTGTTACCCAGGCTGGAGTGCAATGGCGCGATCTCAGCTCACCGCAACCTCCGCCTCCTGGGTTCAGGCAATTCTCCTGCCTCAGCCTCCTGAGTAGCTGGGATTACAGGCACACGCCACCATGTCCAGCTAATTTTTTTTTTTTTGTATTTTTAGTAGAGACAGGGTTTCACCATGTTGACCTGGATGGTCTCGATCTCTTGACCTCGTGATCTACCCGCCTCAGCCTCCCAGAGTACTGGGAAGGATATACAACTTTTAAGAGCTAAATAGATCGAATTCACCCTCATCTCCTCTACTGTTCTGCTCACTCACTGTGCTCCAGTCACTCTGGTCTTCCCAAACATACGAAATTCCTTTCCACACCCCAAGATACTCTCTTTTTCATTCTCCAGTAATCTGCTTCCTTAAGCAAGCCAATTTAACGACGTTACCCCACCTACTTTTTCTCTTCCCACCTTTCATTTTGCGTCCTTCATAGATTTTACCACAGCATCGAATTCTGTACTCAACCTTCCATCTGCTTATTCAGTTTGAACCTTGGCATTGGATGATGAACTCCATAACGTCAGAGATAATGTCTAGCTTTCTAACTTTCTGTTCTTAATACCAGCCATAATACTGGGCGCACATAGCATGTGCTCCATAAATATTTTGTTGATTTAATGCAAAAATGAATGACCAAATGAATGAGTCAGAAACATATACAAGTATAGGTCTTGAGGTTGATCTATTCACTCTTACTGAGTTTTGTTGAAATACAACACTTTGCAGTTTTGATTATCACATTTTAAATAAGGCGATAACTTTTTTTTTTCACAAGATGTGAGCAGAAAGCTAAAAGAAATGCTGAACCTACTATATATCTTATTGCTTATTCTTTTTGTTTATATACCTAAGATATTAAAATGTCATACTTAGTACTAGAGATGTATTTCTTATTTAGAAAGTATCATATGCTCACATTCATAGCTAATTTAAAGTTAACTTTAAGTTATGCCTTTTTAAAGTGTTATGAAATTTTACTTTAAGAAATAGAAATGCGTGGCTAAAAGTCCTAAATATTCTTATTGAATGTTCCAAATTAATGTTAAGCATTCACTATTTTACAACCTTATTTTTTATTAATACTGTTATAAATAGTGTAAGATATGATGTATTTACAGAAGACTTTGTTATGTGATGATGAGGTTTTATTTAGGAAAAGTTGATAATATTAAAAATAGCAGTTCTATTTCTTTTCACTTACAAAATACAAATGTCTTGGTGAATCTAAAACATTATTGAAAGAAAAAAACTCTTTTCTCTAGGGAACTTTATGATTTTTATTGCTATGTTAGTATATTTTGTAGTTGTCATACCATAAGGCTTTATTTGTTTTAGAACACTGAATTAGTTCTGCAGCAAATAAAGCTTAGGAATATATTGGTTTATAAAAGTGGCAATGATATTTAAGTACTTTTAATGTGCCTTGATTTTATGATTCTTATGTCTTTATCTTTTTATTTTATTCTATTTGTTTCCTTTTGGAGAAAATTAGTTAATTTTGCAGAAACCATTGCTAATTTTTAATACTGAACATTTTTTCTTATTTCTGCCATTAAATATGTTGTTTCCAAATTGGAGTACTTTATTTGTGTTAGATTTAAGTCATAGTACATATTGTGACTTATATAGTATAACTTATATACTATGTTAGGCTTATAAGCTTCGTATAGACATATATTCCGTTGTAAGATCCATTAAGGTGGGGATTGTGCCTCAAAACCCACATAGTGCCTGGTGCTCAGTTGGTTCCCAGTGAATATTTGTTTACTTTCTTAATCAGTTAATGGATGACAGGGCAAAAGTGAATTGATATTTTAAGCAGAAGAAAGGGCCAGATTGACTATCCTTGTTTTTTTATGATATTATAGGTATCATTTATATTATGGGTAATATAACATTTATATAATGTGTACTTTTTGGTTCTTGGATTCTCTGTAATTTTCTCCTCACTTATGGATATAAGAACTTGAAACATTTTAAAATTAAATGCTTTGGCCCAGGAGTTAATCAAAGTAATGGTAGATATTGGATTAAAGGCCGTAAAGTAAGTTCTATCTTCTATCAAAATGTCAGTATTGATTATGTATACATAGAAAGGTTGTGTTTTTACCTGAAGAAAACCAATTGTTGTGTGTTAAATTTTTAAAAACCAAATGAGTTTAGGGATTCAAGGTTCTTAGAAAAGTATAAGTCTGTAATCATAATGAAAATTAGAATTTATGACTCACAGATATGTGGGATTTATGTAAATAGGAGATATTTTAAAATTCTTATTTGTATTGCTGAGATTTAAAGCAATCTGTAGGTTTTCTATATAACTATGCTGCTCATCTACAGAACTAAATTTAATGGAGCAGAAAGTTAACTAACTTTTAAGTTAAGGTGACTTTGTGGAAAACTACTTTTGGTGAATGATTTTCAACATGATTGTGATGAGTTTTAATATACTCAATGAAGTTTTATGTCTAATTATTAGTAAACTTAAATAGGTCAACTACATATTAGAAGAAAAAGTGTGAACTTGTTTTTCCTTGGTAGTATGCTTGTCCTCCATAATTGATGGAAAGAAAGTACATACTAAAAAAGCAACTATGTAAAAGACTAAAATTATTGTTGAGAAATTATTATGCTTCAAAGACTTGTATTTATGTTTATTGACTTCATGTTTTAATATTTCACAACCAGGGTGTAGATTCCAACTTAGCTGTATGCCTTGATCAGGTTGAATATATCTGTAAATTCATTTTACCAATATGTACTTGCAGGGTTTTAGTATGAAGGAATAGAAGATATTCCAAGTGTTTAGTTCACTGCCTGGCTTGATAAATGTTATTTATTATTATATATTAGTCTTATTACTATTTATTATTAACAGTACTTTAAAAATTCTGATAACTTTCTTCAAATTGTTCTTTTCTCAAAAATGGGGATTACCACATATTTTGAGATAATTATAATGCTGAATTACTTTTGAATATTAATGACAGATTTTTTTCTCAGCTTAAGAACCAAATTACTTGACTATCATATCAGTACAGATAGAGAAAGGATAGAGCTCATAAGAACCATCGTGAACAAAATAAGTATCTGAGGAAACCTCTCAGCTACTTCAATCTGTATTTCGCATTAATGTGTGATTCTACTCTAATTTGGGAGCAGATTTTAAAAATTCCACTAAATAGGGAGAACTTTTCTCAACATCTGATTTTAGGCAATTTTCAAAACTACCAAGGGAGTTTGAGGACTGAAACCAGTTTTTCTAGACTCTGTCATTAATTAAAAATTAAAAGATTAATTAATATTATGCATATTATATGAACTTTTAAATCATTATAGTAAGCATTTTTGTTAAATTATTTATACCAGTTATCTGCTTATGACTGCAGGTTGCATAATTTGCTGCACAGATACTTAAATGGCAACATATGTCACATTTATCCACTCAGTGGCCACACTTCATTGTGTATAGACATATTCTGATGGGCTTCACATTCAATTTGACAAGTGAGGCAATACCAGTCAACATGTCCTACAGGTTTTGCATCTGGCTTACCCACTTGTACTATTTTTTTAAGCAACAAGAGCTGTAGAAAGAACTAGAGTAACCTGATTTGAAACCTGGCTCTAATGCTTATTAGCTTTGTGACTATGGAAAGGTTTCTTAGCATGTTTTGTTTTTGTTTTTGTTTTTTTTTTGTTTTTTTTTGTTTTGTTTTTTCCCAAGCCTGGGTCTCACTTTATCACCCAGGCTGGAGTGTAGTGATGTGATTCCTGTTCACTGCAACTTCCATCTCCTGGGTTCAAGTGATCCTCCCACCTCAGCATTCTGAGTAGCTGGGACTACAGATGTGCGCCACCATGCCCAGCTAATTTGTTTGTATTTTTTAGTAGAGACAAGGTTTCACCATATTGGTTTCACCACAAGTGATCTTCCCACTTTGACCTTCCAAAGTGCTGGGATTACAAGCCTGAGCCACTGTGCTGGCCAGTTCCTTATCATCTTTGAATTTTAGTTTTCTCATCTGTAATATTGTGATAATGACCAATGTAAGGAAATATTACATGCTTATAATTTTGCAAAATTAATGAAATTGATATAGGGAAACAGATACTCTCCTATACTGTTGGTAAAAATATTCATTATTAAAACATATCTATGAGGCAATTTGGTGCCACCTAATACATGTTAAAAGGCATATTCCCATTGAGTCAGCAGTATCGTGTCTGGGACTATATGCTACAGAAATGCATTGGTACAAAAAGATACACACACACACACACACAATGAATGTTTGAGCATTATTTATAATAGCTAACTTTAGACATACTTAAATATCCATAATTAGGGAGCAGTTAAATGAATCTTGGTGTAGTCATACAATATTAATCTGAATGTACTGAAATAAAAAGATTTCTGAGACATAGGAAATAAAAAATGGAAGTAAATGAAAGTGATTTAGATAAGATATGGAAAGTATAACATGTAAAAATATAACAATATACATGTAATTAACATGTAATTGCATATTATGTATCATTAATGCATTTTATAATTCCTGTGAATTGTTATAATTACTTTGAAGACTACTACAGTGATACATACTCACTTATTAAAAGTGGTTCCTTCTGGGAAGAGACTGATAGGATGTCTAGCTGTCAGGGACTGGTGAATGCATTCAAATTCAATGTGTGAATTGAAACACTAAAGGCAAAATAAACAATTACAGTTTTTCAATGGCAATAAAGCTTTTTTCTACTATTATTAATCCCCCTGCCATCATTCTAGTTCAGCGTTTTCATTATCTCACTCAAAGTGGAAGATGGCAGGATATTTTAGAGCATAAATAAATTCTATGGAGGACTTCAGGACTTTTTCAAGCTACATTTGCCATCTCCCTTCCCAGCTCCTATTCTCATTTCTCTTCCCCAACACAGGATAGCTACTCTAGTAAGGAATAACAGATGGAGGTGGGAGTTGTGTGTTGTAGGTGATAAGAAGTAAGAAGGAGTTAACCAAATAGGGGAAAGCCAGGAGGCTCTGGCATTATCATGTCAAACTCTGCAGAGAAGTGAAATACCTTAGGTTTTTTTTCGTGTGTGTGTGTTTGTTTTGTTTAGCACAGAGAGCAATACTTATTGATCTTGCTGACAACAGTTACAATGGTAGTGGGAGGAAAGTGTATAAAAAAACTGAGCAGGAGGTAAGAGTGCAGATATTGTAGACCACTCCTTTCCAAGACATTTGGCTATGAATGGAGAGGAAGAAGTGGGGAAAGAGGCACTGCCCTACATTTTGTTGCATCTTACTGATTTTTGAAGACAATTTTAAATGGTGTGTCAATCCATCCAAAGTCATTATTTTTGGTAGACATCCCAGCTTCAAGTGATTAACCAAAAAAGCAAATCAATTCCATTCCTTAGGCATACATTTTGTAATTAGTTTTTCCTGACAGGCTTCCAAAAAGGCTATGTTACTCTAGTTTTGACATTCTTCTGCATATTTTGCTGAGATTTTTGATGATCATAGGAGGTAATTTTATAAATTTTGCAGTATACATTTATTGCATTCATGATTTATGTAAATTTTTGAGTGTTTCTCTCTTCTCTTTTTATGGCTTGAACAAAATTCCTCATGTTCTTTTAGCATTTTCCTGTTTCTTTATTAGTAAAAGTTTGACCTTGCTTAAAACCTTTTTTTTCCGACCAAACTCTATGCCTTCTTCCATGCCACAATACTAGGGTAGATTGTAGAAGCAAACAAGATGGTGCAGGAGGAGCTTGTGGGAAGACAAGCAAGGCTTATCTAGAAATACTATGTAGAGGAGAATATCTGGGAGGTACAAACTATGGAGAAAGCAACTTGTAGCATTGTTTTTTAATTCAGAGACATATCCCATAAATTATACAAAATTGAGAGCCAGATATTTCTAAATACTACTCCATTTATCTTATAGGTGAGTAAACTAACACTACATATCAATATAATATATATAAAGTGGAAAATGGGTCATACTCTGAATTGCATATTTATCTTTGGTCCTACTTAAGTTACTGCACTGATCCATGAAACAACTGAAATGTTGCATTGTATTTAACAAACTTTCCTGAGACATACACAACACATACTAAAACTTATGTTAGAGTCAGATATTTTCTTTTCCATGGATTTTGAAAAATTTATAACTGATTTGACTGTTTTAGGAATCTTGAAATCATAAACTGCCTCATAGAACCTCCTTCAGAAAAATCACTTTACATATCCTATTGCTATTATTTTGGAAAATCTGTTATTTAAAAATGTGTTTATATTAACCAATGATATAGGTGCTTTAATTTGGGGCACTTGATTCTAATATATGTGCTAATCCATAAAGCAGAAGAGTTAACTGATTTCAGAGACATAATTTGGGTGTTGCCTTAGAGATGTATCTGTTTATTGTATGTATGCTTAAAAGTTCTCATGATGTTATTCTACTCATACATTAGAAATAATTCCTGTTATTCTATTCACACATTAAAAATGCTTATTGAGTTCCCACACTGCCTGTCAGATAGTATATTGGGTGCTGCTAAGATATCACAGTATTTTTTTCAGAATTTTCCTATAGGACTCAGGCTATGTTTCTTTTAGAATGTCAAAGATTGAGAACTTAGGTTTAAAAAACATTCCCCAAAACTTTAAAGTTAAAAAAGATGTTAATACATTGAAACATTATTCAGTGGACATACATTTGAATAGATTGTAGCTAAACTGAAGATGAATTACAGGATTTTAAACATGGAGAAAAAAGTGCAAGTTGTAGAAGACAGCATAGAGTATGTTTCCATTTTTGTAAAGCTCAAATAGAATAAAAACTAAGCTATATTTCATTTAGCAATATAGAAATGGGTTGGAAAGCTATTTTTAAAGAGGAGGCAAGAAGAATGGTAAACATAAAAATCAAGATAATGCCCCCAGAGAGGTGACAGGGGGCTGATGTTGGGAAGAAAGTAGGTAATATTCTAGGATTTAAATTGGATCACAAGTTAGTGTCATCATTGTGTTTCGTAGCTTACATAACATTTATTATTTTGGATGCATCAAATACTATATAATAGAAAAATAAGTAGAAGACAATATTTAGTTTTCTGCCTGTTTGTAATTGTATGTGCTTTAAAAGAAAGTGATAAAGTAGGAAATTTAGACAATTAAGTGGTTATTATGTCTACATGAGACCAAATAATAGCGTTACTGACTGTTTTCTTGGAAGGACTAAGAAATCCTGTTTTAAAGAGTCATGTTTTAAGTTTCGCTACTTAATTTTTATTTCAGTGACAGGACCACTTCAGGCCAGTTTAGTTTATAAGAGAAAAATAAATTTAACAAATGTTTATTGAGTTTCCACAGTACCTGTCAGGTAGTATATTTGGTGTTGCTTAGCTATCACAGTAAATAAGATAAATTTCTGCTCTTTGAAACCTTTAAGTTCAGTGGAGACAACAGGATAAATGTGTTTATTAATCCATTAGTACAAATTCTGAAAGCACAGGATATTAAATTTAAACTAAGGATGTTCCTAAGTCATCCCTTAATATTATAAGAAATGTGAATAAAGCAAAGCTTAATATAACAGCTTATATAGAAAATATTGACTTTTTGTTAATTTTGTCTAATTTCTCTTTGCTTTGACTATTTCATAGGCTTATATATTATCCCACATTTAGGAGTTTTCTTGTCAAGATACTAAGATGTTAAGGCAAATGCATCAAATCCATGAAGTAACTGTGACATAGCTCATTACAGATAAATCTTTATGCTTACTCAGATCCTTGGCCTGGATGACATTGTAATTTATTTTTCTTTAATAAATGTCCTTCTCTAGGAATCAGTTTGGTATATTGAAGAGTATCATATTTTAGAGAAACTTTGTTTGGATTTTATTTCTGACATGTTCTATTCCATCTTTATGACTTTAGATAAATTAGCTACCTTTGGCAAGGGTTAATTTTCCATCTATAAAATGGAGTTGGTAATATTGTCCAGATAGAGCTGTGAGGATTAAATTTTATGATGTATACAAACATCTAACCAACTAGACCACAGTGACTATTATGTGTTTAAATCCAGGATAGTGCTAAATAGGATTTAAGACCACTTAAGGATAAGGCCTTCAGTGTTTGCAAATTGGATTTGTTTTACTGAAAGATTAATTTCCTAGTCCTAGAACATTGTGTGTGTTGAGTTACTGCAGTTTTAAATGAATTAACTATTAAAAGCTGAAAGTCCAAAGTGTTTCAAGACAGCTCTGAAATTCAACTCACAGAAAATATATTTTGAAACAAAATGTGCTGCTATCTTTTTATCCTGAAATGAAAGATTAGGAAGGAATTGACTGTAGAAATGTCACTGTTGTATGCAGAACACAGTGCAAAGAAAATAATGTACATTTTGATCTCTTCCTCTCATCTATTCTGTTCAAACTTTTTCAGAAAACCAAATAGTCATAAAGTATTTTAAATTTATATAGTTTTATTTCTTCCTACTTGTTTAAGAAATAAATGTGAATTTCTTTGAAATATGTATTTATTTAATTTTAATTAACTGGCTAAGTTTTTCTGTAATTAAAATCAAATGTATAAGTAAACTTTAAATTCTACTTAAAAGAATATTTCAGTGTTCAAAGAGGTGTAGACAAACATTTCAATGACATTAAAGTGGTTTACAGTTTATTATTTCTTAGCAAAGGACTGGAATGTTTTAGTTCTATCAAACACCTCCATAAAAAGTGGTTTTTGTTTTTGGTAGGAGAGTGAGGGCTCTTTCAAAGGTTTAACAGAAGTGTTGTCAAGGGTTCAGCTATGGGAAGAGATGAGAGGCTTATCATGCAAGGATGCACTAGAGTGGGTATGATGGTGATTTTATCAGGCTTCTGGTGGTCATGGTTGAAATGTTGCTGTAGCACTTCCAATCCCATCATCTTCTCAAGGTTTTCTGAAACTGCCTTCATTCCCACTTTCTCAGCAAATGTAATTGTGTTGTATTGGCTCACAATCATTTTATTTGGCTAGGTCAGATCATAATCTCAGTTGGGGAAAAGTTTCGTTGTTGTTGTTGTTGTTGTATTTGAGATGGAGTCTCACTTTGTTGCCCAGGCTGGAGTGCAGTGGTGTGATCTTGGCTCACTGTAACCTCAGCCTCCCGTGTTCAAGTGATTCCCTTGCCTCAGCCTCCTAAGTATCTGGAACTACAGGTGCCTGCCACCACACCCAGCTAACTTTTTGTATTTTTAGTAGAGAT